TTCTATCGCAAAAGTAGAAACTGAAACTTAAAAAAGAAAAAAATAAAGTAGTTACCTTACAATGTATGAGGACTTTTTCAGTTTCAAGTTGCAGAAACCCAACTCTCCAAGTAAGCTTAAACAAAAGGAGACATTTATTAACTTATATAACTTAAAAGCTTTGGCCTAGATTTAGATGCTAAACAGTTATCAGGAGTGTCTTTCCCTTCCTTGCTCCCTCCTCTTCTCTCTTCTGTATATACTTCATGTAGGCTCTCTCTGTAAGTAATGGCAGGGTATTGTTCCTTGTAGCTTTAGGCTTGCATTCTAACTACTTCATCAACTGCAACAGGAAGAGACTACAACTTGAGCGAAAATTTCTCAGTTAAGTTATAATTTTCCTGGACTGTGCATGTGCCCATTTCTGAACCAAATATTCTGACCAGAAAATGGAATTCTCTGATTAGGACAAGTATCTGAAGGTTAAGAAAAAAATTCAGCATCCCTAAATCACGGGGAGAATGATAACTTCCCAAAAAGCAGGAAGAAAAGATGCTGGGCAGAGATGTCTGCTTCACAGTTAATTGTGAAGGATTCTGTGGATAATGCAGCACTATTTTAATATGGAACTCATAATTACTTTCATAGAACTGGAGCATAATAATGCTCTAAACTTTGAAGATTCTTCATAGATGTGAAAAATAAGAGCTTAACAAGGGTATGACCTCATTCAAATCACATAGTTAATACACCTGCTGTTCGTAAGTAAGGACTCCTGAGTAAGAGATTCAGACTCATTCACATTTAGGTTCAAATCCTGGTTTTGAGTGAGGTAATTACATGCAGTTAGACTGTTTTCTTATCCTTAAAATAGAGGTGATAACATCTTGTTGAGTTAGAGTTAGGAGTATATGTAGAATATTGGCAAATAATAACAGTACTGTTACATGTTGTCATTACAATAACAGCCATTTCTAAATCCATATAATAATTTTATTGTGATCATTCTGAAATACAGCTTTGTAGGCTTCAAGCAAACACTGATATGTTGAAACATCTACATTATTTCTAAGTGCCAGAAAAGTACTGAAGTAGAAACTCACTTTGAGGGACGGACACTAGAATTGAATCCCGGGGTGCTTTACCACTGATTTAGTTTTTATCTTGAGACAACTCTTGCTTAATTGTTTAGGGCATTGTTAAGTTGCTGAGATTGGCATTGAACTTGTGATCCTCCTGCCTCCACTTCCTGAGTTGCTGGGATTACAGGCATGTACCACCATGCCTGGCTAGAAAATCACTCTTTAAACTTGAGTCAGATTGTGAATTTATCTTAGGGAAGGTGATCTGAGAGTATTGACACATAGAATATGAACAAACATTACACATCGTGTGTTGTGGTATTAAGGTGGTAGTCTAGTCTGACAGTATTGTGGCAGTATTTATAGATTTAAAAGGTGTGTAATCTATGCTTTAAAGTCTCTTTCCTAAGAGTAATCACATAAAAGAGATTTACATAAAATAAGGCTTAAAAATAAATGTTTGATTAAAGACAAATCAGAAATGTAAGTTTCAAAAGAGGATGATGGTATTTCAGTATCTGAGTAGACTTTAAAGCAAAAAAGTGTATAATTGGATCAATCATGTCATTTTATATTAACACAGGATATACTCCACATATTAGCAGTTATGAACTTTTGGGTGCCATACTAACACTAAAATCTATCAAGCAAAAGGTGAATGAAATGGAAAAATTATTAAAAAATTAATGACAGCAGAAGCCTTTAATATACTTCAAGAAGGCACAAAATAAGATATGTGGGTGGTTTGAATAATTTGATAAAATTAGCCCAAAGAATGTATTTATTTTTCTGTCATCCACAAAATAGTTACCAAGATTATAATTCATTAGTCCATCTTCAAGAAACAAAAAACAAAACTCCCAAATAGAAATTATACAAGCCCCATTTCTTGATTATAATTTATTTTTTTAAGTTCAATTGAAGTCTATGTGGAAATTTAAAACCATGTTCTTAAACAATTTTTTAGTCAATGAGGAAACCCAGATTCATATTAGCGTTTTTAAGATTAATAACAAGAATCAACAAAGATAATATAATGAATTGGGAAACAGTAAATCATTTGAACTAATAAATCTAAACACTGACAATATGAAAATGCCAATAAAATCATTGTATCTCTCTTAAAGCCAATAAGGGAAGACAGAAAAGAAACATAAGCCCTTAAAGTATTAAAAAGGAGGTAGAATTATAGTGTGGAGGTGACATTAGAAAGGTTTCTGATGTTAGGAAATATGTAAAACTCAATAGGTGACTGCCTCCTTACTGTTACATCTTAATCTGATAAAAGATTTTTTTTTTTTTTTAAGAAAGAACAAACCAGAAAGTACAATTTAGGAGAAATCAAATAGTTTGACCAAAAGTAGGAGTAATTGTTGGCACAGAGAATTGTGAGAGGTGAAAGTGGAAAAAGAGGTTGGGGCTCTATATTTATGTGATTGAATTATACTATGTGATAAGTCCTTGTTTGGGTGGACACCAGATATCATTTAACATTTGAATTAATCAGCAATGTGATTATCTTATACTTTTATAAAATTAGTTCAATAGTGGTATGAAAGATAAATTGACCTCCTTTCTTCTGCCTAGACCTTTGCCATATTGCTGAGGTTCCTTAACTTCTTTTCTCTATAACTCTGTGTATATCACTACTGACTCTGAGCTTTGTTTCCTTCCATAGCAGGAAGAACTATAGGGATTAAATGGATGTTATGAAGTTTGTAATTTAGATTCAGCTGGTATTCACACATAAATTATTCGCTCAGTGATGACAACTAGTAAATTCATATATTCTTCACTTTGCCTACCTCCTTTTGTTAAGGATTAACTGAATCTTGAAACACCTACATTATAGATGTATAGTCACTTGCTACTTGAGAAAACTTTAAAACTCTGAAAACCTTTTATTATCACATGCAAACTTGTGCCAAAGATGGAGATAAAGAAAAAAATATCTACCATTCATTAAGTCCCAACAAATGATAACTTTACAACTTGGTTTCTTATAGACTTGTACTGACTTTTTTTTTTAGATTTATTAAATTTTTTGACTAGATAATAAATTCACACGGTTCAAAAAAGTATCATTCCCATCTATACTCCATCTATTATTTTCTCCATTAGCAATTATGTATTTTATTTTGATAAACATGAATGACAGGGGCTCGGATTATACTCAGTGGTGTGAGGCACTGGGTTCAATCCTCAGCACTACATAAAAATTAAGATATTGTGTTCATCTATAACTAAAAAGATATTTTAAAAAATGAATGACAAGTTGTTTAATGAAGTTACATAAAATAATGTGTTGATAAACCATCTGGAGCCTAAACATTTTTAAGTGCTAAGGACACTTTTTTACTGTTAATTTTTTTTAACACTTCTTCAAAATAGTGCTACTTTACTACTGTTCCTGTAAGAATACATACAAATAAAATTCCAGCTATCCCAGAATTATATCTTAACACAGGTAGACTTTATTAAACTTTAAGACTGTTAACTATGTATCATTTGTAGTTTTTAGCTTGCTTTTGTGTAACTGCTTTGGTGTTTATTCTTCACAAAAATCCTGTTACAAAGGAAGGGTACACGATATTGTCCTCAGTTTCCTGAGGAAACAAATTGGGGTTTGTGTTTTGACTATCAGCATTCAAATAGAAGTCTTCTGACTATAAAATGTTTGTTCTTTACTGTGACCAAAATCTTAAATCACTTGTTCTGATTTCAAATGATTTATATCCATTTTTCAACTGTGTGTGTATGTGTGTTTATAATAAAATCATGCTAACCTTTAAAAAAAACACTGATTCTATTATAGTAAGTATCTTCTTAAAAAATACTGATTGTATTATACTAGTTTGACATTCAGCATTTGTGTTTTTAAATTCACAAAAATGTGCTTTATATTTTTCATTGAAAAAGGGATATTTGTGTACAGAATTTTTAACACATTGGGGAAGTTTAGGTGCTAATGATAACTTAAAAGAGAAATACTGTGAGAATTTTTCCTCTTGAATATACTTTAAAGAATGATTTTTCAATAAGTTTCTTCTAACGATTATACTTAAGGTTGTTTATTATTTTCCTTATATTTCTAAGTTGAATTTTTCTTAAGTCACATTTGTAGTAGAAAAAACCTTAGATAAGCACTTTAATACCTCATTTATTCAGCTTCATTAGTGAACATATTATTGCATACATCAATTTTTTTAGAAATTCAGGTTCTCCTTTTAAATATGTTAAATATATTTAAAGCATTTTTAATACTTGGTATTTTCTAAAACATTTTATACTCTCCTTGCTTCTCCAACAAAGAGATGTATGTGACAGAGACATCTTTAAGTAACTTTGTTAGTGGACTATTGGATTCATTTATGTAAACTGAATACTCCTATTTTTTTTCCTGCTCTAAAGCCAACGTTTCTTTTTTTCTACTGCTTTGTCTGCCTCTTAAAAGGCAGTTTGCATTATCTAATCTGCTGATTCTGATATACTTTTGCTTGGAAAAATTTGTGAGGAATTGTGTGTTTAATAAGAGTCCATAAATCCTTGTGGGATATATTGGTATAAAGAACATAGCTATAATGCTGAGAGGGCTTTGACAATTATTTTTGGATATGCAGTGACCTTTGCTAATTGGATCAGGGTCAGAGCATATTTGTGAGTTTTGAATAAATGAGGTGTTATTGTATTTGAAGGAAGTAAAGTTATTCAGATATTTTTCTTTGTATTGATGTTGTTCTGATTTACTCTGTTATTGAACTGGATTTAAGTATTAATTATTTAAGGTCAATTTTTTTATATGTATATGTTTTCCAATGGGTACAACCCATTTACCATAGCAACTTAGTAGAATAACTATAATGGAACTTTCCATTTGAATTTGGCTTTTCTCTTTCTTTTTTTCTCTGTTTCTCTATTTTTTTTTCTTCTATCCTCCAGGGAGTAACTATTCCCAGTCAGAGGCGCTATGTGTATTATTATAGCTACCTGTTAAAGAATCATCTGGATTATAGACCAGTGGCACTGTTGTTTCACAAGATGATGTTTGAAACTATTCCAATGTTCAGTGGCGGAACTTGCAGTAAGTGCTCTAAATTCTCTCATCCTTTTATGTTTTGGAATACTTTTCTTAACACATGTAGAAGTGTATATAAAAATCTAGAAAGAAATCTACCACATTGAAAATTTTATGCAAAAGAGTTTATTTCTGAAGTATCCAAATTAATTGGCTCTGTTGTTCATCTCCTTGGACTGAGTTGCCAAGAACAGTGGGTTTAATGTTTTTGAAGTCAAATTTTATTTTATTAAGGAAGTATTTTGTGTTACAACCACCAAATGGAGCTTAAATTCTGAGCAGATGACTGAAAAACCTATCTCATAGAGGTTCAACATAAGAGTGACAATGAGATTCATCAGTTTATGGTCTTGGGGCAGGGACTAATTCTTTCATCTTAAGAATATTAGATATTTACATTTATGGTGACAGAACAATGTAAAGGAAAGTGATAGGACTTGGCAACAAGCTCAAGTATAATGAGTAGGGGTGGGGTGGGGAATACTGAGTCAGAGTATGTAAAGTGAGGAAGAAAACCTGGATTCAGATGTGAGTTCCAATCGTAGCTCAATCATTAATGTACTGTACAACCCTGGTCATACCATCTACCCTTCTTTGAGTTTTCTCATCAAATAAAATACAGAGATTTTAAAATCTGGAACTCCTAAATAAATACTAAGTATAAATAATGTCACTGATGTCTGCTTCTAGTTTATTTATCTTTTATCCTAACCTTTGTAAGCCTACCTCATCCATCCCTATCCTATTCTGCTTCTCTGCTATTCTTGGCTAGAGTTCTTAGCTAGACTGATGGGAAGCTTACTACTTGGATCAAGAGACTCGTAACGGTTTTTAATCCTGGAACTTAAATACAACCAGGAAGTGGTCAGTCATGTTTTCATGTTCAAGAAATATATTTTGTTAGTATTTAGAGGACAATTATGTGGTTTCTAGATAAGATACCACTTTATTATTTCTTTTAACAACTCTAATATTATTTCAGTGATATTTTGCAATGTTAGTGGTTTTAGCTTTTTTTTTTTTTTTTGGTGGTACCTGGGATTGAACCCAGGGGCATTTAACCACTGAGCTGTATCCACAGTCTTTTTAAAATATTTTATTCAGAGACAGGGTCTTGCTGTCTCTAAGTTGCTGAGTCTGGCTTTCAACTTGAGATCCCTTACCTCAAGTCTTCTGAGCTACTGGGACTACAGGTGTACGCTACTATGCCTGGATAGGTTTTTAGCTTTAAGCTTTGTTTCTTGAAAATATTTGTTTAAATTAAACATATTTTGTCCCTAAATAAATTTGTACCTAGAAAATTACTTCCTTAATTTTTTTTCTTTTTTAATGTTTGACAAGTAGATGGGATTATCTATCAGATCTTTCCTGTTTAAGAGCAAGGCAACTTTATCAAAGATCACAGATAGGCTTCTTAAGAACTGCATTGATTTTTTTTTTTTTTTTTAAATCTCAGTACAATTTTTAAAACTGTTGAGTGCAAGGCACTGGGGTGTTTGAGGTGATTAATGTAGGGACTTAGCAGAATCAGAGGAAAGGAAAAGGAAGAAAATAAACTTCCTATAGGGTAGATTTTAAAAGCCAAATCAAAGGTTTTATGGAGATAATGAGAAAAAGAACATTCAGTTCAGTAATCATTAGTATAATTTTTTTACATTGACCTCTCTAGCAAATTTTTTTTTCAGTTCTACTTTGCCTGCCCATATTTAAACCCTCTCACAGCATTACATTTCTAGACTTAAAATTATTAACTACTAAAATATTTCTAAATTTTTTGTGATATTCTGGTTTCTTGTTTATATACTGATTTAATTCTGTGTATTAAAATAATTAAAATACAGTTAATATAGTGTTAAATTGGAGGCTTTATTTATAAATTATTCATGTATTTTCACAAAAAGAAAGTTTGGAAACTGTCAACACATTTTCATGAAAGAAGTCCTTCAGCCTGTGTGTGGGCAAATTTTTTTTTTTTTTCTCTCTCTCTTTTTTTAGTTACTGGTGCTTGAACTCAGGAGCACTTTACCAATGAGCTACATCCCCAGTCTTTTTTATTTTTTTTATTTTGAGACAGGCCTGTATAAGTTACTGAGACTAACCTCAAACTTGATATCCTCCTGTCTTAGCCTCCAGAGTTGCTGGGATTATATAGGTGTGTGCTACTGTGCCTGGCAGTTCACCAGCTCTTTATTGAATATTGGGGAAAGCATGCAGTTTAGGTTGGCATTAAATCTGAAGAAAGTATTGCAGGTAATAGGAAATAGCTTTGAACTAAAGCACATCAGAAGGAAGTGAACTGGATAAGAAGTGTAAAGAGCATAGAATAGGAATGGAATGTCTGAGTTAGAAAGTCTTGAAGGGGATTTCAGGCTTGGTTTGATAAATATAGTATTACAAATAGTATGAGAGATTTAAACCATGTTTTTCGGACAGTTGTATAGAAAGTTGTGATTGAAGAAGGCAAAAGCCTTATGCCAGATGTGCTAGAGTAAGCAAATGGATGTTTATTTTTTTCTTTGCTATTGATATACAAAGATTTCATCAAAGTTTCAGTCCTGCTCATGTAGATGATTCACAGGAAGGAGAAGAAAGAAAAGTGAGTCTGAGATTAATTTTTGGTTTCAAACATGTTTTAAATCTGATGAAAGTGAATTTTTCACATGGAGATATTCAGAGACTACTGGGATTTAGGTTCAGATAGAGGCGAGAGATATCTGGTATTTTGGGATGCATAAAGATAAGACTTCTTAAATGTTTTCATGTAAATATGTTGTGGAGTTAGGAATAGGAAGACTTGGAGTAAAGCAAAGGATGAGGACTGAGATGATGAATGGCAACTTGGGTTCAGGAAGAAGAAGGGAATAAGTGAAGAAAGCTGGTGGTGAAAAGTAATCTACAAAGTTGTCAGGGGTTAGCAACCATTTTCTTACTTATTTTAATATTTTGAAATGAAGGGAAAGTTACTGTTTTATTTTCTAAAAGGGTTAAGAATGTTAATAAAGTTGGCCCATGTGGGTTTCTGTCTCTGCACATACACATATCTATACCTATAAATCTAGGAAATTTTAAATTTGATTTTTATTTACTCTAGGTATGGCTCTTATCATTTCCTTAGAACAGTCAATCATATCAAAGAATATGTATCAAAATGGTGTCTTAAAAGACCACACCAATGTTGGACTAATGATAAGTTAGGCTTTATCTAAAATGTGAAATTCATATTGTATTTTCCTTAATGATTTGAGGAAACTTACTAATTTTTGGTACTGAAATTTAACCCAGGGTACTTCACCTCTGAGCTACATCTCCAGCTCTTTTTGATTTTTGAGATACAGTCCTACTAAGTTGGTTAGGGCCTACTAAGTTGCTGAGGCTGACTTCAAACTTTTTGGGATTATAAGCATGTACCACCGTACCTGGCAAACTTATTAATTTTTGTTTTGTTTTGTTTTGATATCTGGGATTGAACACAGGGTCACTCAACCACTGAGCCACATACCCAGCCCTATTTTATATATTATTTAGAGACAGAGTCTCACTGAGTTGCTTAGCACCTTGCTTTTTTTTCATGATCCTCCTACCTCAGCCTCCCGAGCCGCTGGGATTACAGGAGTGCACCACTGCACCCTACACCAATTTATTAATTTTTAGTAAAACATTTTAAGCCTAGCTTTTAGAGGAAATTCTGCATAATGCCAATTTGTAATTAGCTTGTGGATTGTTTGTAACAGTTCTCAAGTTCTTGAAAATGTGCATTTCAGATGTAGTTTCTTTGAAATCTGGCTTATACTGTCACTTTTCTTTTTCAAATCCTAAAATCAGTATTACCAGATTCTGAATTAGTAGGATTTAAATTAATAAGATTATAACACATTTTCATCTTGACTAATTTATCACAGCTTTGAAATTATAACTTGGTCTTTTGCTTTATTCAAGCTAGATTTCCCATGAAAATTTCAGTGTCACATAAAGACTTGTAAAATGGTTCCCTGTACTTTGAACCTTAGTCAAAGGAGTGGAATTTATTGACAGGTTATTGGTGTAGCATTTCCCCTTTTTGGGGTGACCTTTCCTCATGATATGTGTCTTAACAAATCCATGTTAGAATAACCCCACACACTTTTAGCAAACATTTATGGGTATTAATTAAATGGAAATTTCATTCAGCTTGGTTTGACTTTTTGCCTCATTTGCAGTCTTGGGTCACATTGATAAATCTGAAACTTTTTTTTTCCTTGAAAGATAATAGTGCCTTTTGAGGTGCTGAGGATTTTAACTGATATATACATATATATGTACACACATACACATACATACACATATACAACATTTATATATTTCTCATATACTATATGCAAGCTCTTTTTTCTGTTTATTTTCTTGTCATGTTTTCTTTGAGACTTTATTATCTCCTAAGATTAATCAATGGACTTTAAATAAAATTCTTCAGTATACTACAAATAAATTATGCCTCAAATGAATTGGCAAGTTATTTAATTTGAAATTTTTAAAGTTGTAGAATCTTAACATTAATGAATCTTTCATTTCTGTCACTGAAGTTATTAGATATAAATGAACTTTTGAGTAGAATTTTAAAATAAAACAAAAATCTCTTCCACACTTTTATCACCTTTTTTAGTTAAATTGCTAACATAAAAGCAGGATGAATTTTGAGAAGTTATACTTTACCAACTATTTAAAAACAGATACAGCCCAAAGTCAAAATGGTTATTAATGTGTTTTGGAGGGAAGGGAAGTTTATGCTGCAATTTACACTTGAGATCATTTCTTAGCAGACATCTCAATCATTTCCTCTTTCTCATGGTGGTGACTTTATATACTTTTAAAATGAAATGTGGGCTAGAGGTTAAATAAAAAAAGGATGATGGGTAATATTTTCATAAATACTAGGTCTTATGCTTGGAATTTATTATGACTTTGTTATAGGTTATATATTCTTTCCTCTTGCGAACATGTAATAATTTTTATTTTGTGATTTTTGGCACAGGCTAGGGCCTTCACAACACCAAAGGAAATGTTTTAAAAGTTACCATTTATGTAATTCACAAATATTCCAGAAAACTATTAAAATTAATTTTATACTTTATATTAAGATTTTTAGTATAATTTAAAAGTCAAGTCTTGATGTTAATATATTGCTAGATATCTATTTTTGGGACTGGTTCATGAGACAGGAATTGACTGTCCTACCAGTGGAACCTTATTTTATAGATTCAAATCGTAGAAAACCATACCTTGATTATGTCATTGACTTCATTTATTTCCACTAATTCGTTTTAGTCAGGATTACAGATGCGTAGTTACCATTTTGATTATATTGCTGATAATTGATCATTAAAATAGCTTTTGGTAGTTGAAGGCATTTCCTGTGAAGTAAAATAGTATGTATTTAACCATGCAGATCCTCAGTTTGTGGTCTGCCAGCTAAAGGTGAAGATATATTCCTCCAATTCAGGACCCACACGACGGGAAGACAAGTTCATGTACTTTGAGTTCCCTCAGCCATTGCCTGTGTGTGGTGACATCAAAGTAGAGTTCTTCCACAAACAGAACAAGATGCTAAAAAAGGTTTGCACTTTACTTTTTGGGGGGAAATTATCAAAATAGCCATACCTGTAAGAGTAGCCCTGGATCTTTTATTTAAAGCCTTTAGTTAGGCAGAAGTCATTCTATAAAGAGAGATTGATTAAAAGCTGTATTTTATTTTATGATGAACACTTAATTAACTGTGGTTAGCTTTCTTAAACATAGTTAAATATACAGATGCTTTACTTTCTTTTGGTATTAATGGAACATCACAATGGTAAATAATCTTGTTAAAAGGAAAACTATATGACATTGTAACACGAAATTAATTTTTCTTGGTTTATGCAAAGAAGTTTTGTAAAAGTGTTAGATTGTGTACATACTCCCATTCAGTCACTTATAATTCCCCCCCCCTTTTTTTAAATTTTTAATATTTATTTTTTAGTTTTCCGTGGACACAACATCTTTGTTTGTATGTGGTGCTGAGGATGGAACCCAGGCCGCACGCATGCCAGGCGAGCGCGCTACCGCTTGAGCCACATCCCCAGCCCCTATAATCCCCTTTTAAAAGATGGTGAATTAACTGAAAAGAAATTAGCATGGGACCATAGGTTTAAAAAGTGCTAGACTTATAGACAGCAATAAGATCTTTTCTGTGGTCTTCTGTAATGACACAAACCACTTTTCCCCATTTTATGTTTCTTGAGAATTGGTTGTTTTATTTTTAGTTTTCCCAGATTCACTAAATATTTAGCCTTTTATCTAGGAGAGAAATAGTTATGGAGAGGAAATAATAAGGAATGAAAAAAATGTGGTATTTAAATATGCAGGTTTAGAAAGTGAGGTTTGTGTTTTACTAAGCTGTATTTAGAGAAGGCAGAGAAGGCAAGAGCTCGATTATAAAATAAACTATCTTGGTTTAAAATATTAAGTGTGGACATTAAAAGTGAGCTTAAGGTGCAAAATTTTTAGGTAGTAATGGGAAAAAAAGCACTGATTTTGTGTGGTGTTGCTGCCTCATTAATCATACTAGATATATAAACAGTACTATTTTTTAGACATGTCAGATTGATTTAGTTTTCTCAATTTTTAGTTTTTCTTTTGAAAGAAAATAAGAGGAAGTTTCATTTATTACTAAAAATTTTAACACTGTTCTGACTTATCAGAAGAAATGTTATTTCCTTTATTCAGAATTCAAGTAGTTAGAAAAAAAATTACTGAATATTAAAGTGATATTTTTCACCAGAAATACATTTTTTACTCCTGTGTTTAAATAAAAATTAAATATATCTCAGTAGCTTTGAAATAATAATTTTTGGGAATCCATAAAGTGTTAGCAAATGCTTCAAAATCAAGATAATTAGTAAGCTATGGGTTTTTTTTTTTCTCTCTTGTACTTTATAAGACTGACATACATAATACACATAAAATTTTATATTTTTCTCTTAAAAACACACACCTGCTTCACCATTTCTTTGTACTTGTAGGAAGGTGTTAATTTTAATTTTAGTCCTTCTGTACTTCACACTTAGCACATAAAATCGAAGATTAAATATTTATATTTTTGTATGTCTTGGATTACTTTACATTAATTTCAAATTCTACATGATTTTCCCTGTCTTATTTAACTGTCTGCTCTGATTTAAACAAAAAACAGTTTTAGTATAATCAGTACATATTAGAAATCCACATTTTTGGAAATTTAAATATTATTAATTAGCTTATTTTCTTCTAAGTAAAATATAATTCCTAACTTGTGACTTTGCTAAAATAATTGTAATTAACAAGTTTTTTTAAATATTTATTTTTTAGTTGTAGATGGACATAATACCTTTATTTCACTTATTTATTTTTATGTGGTTCTGAGGATTGAACCGAGGGTCCCACATGTGCGAGCCGAGTGCTCTACTGCTAAGCCACAACCCCAGCCCTGTAATTAACAATTTTTAAAAGGACTTGTCATGTATAAGATTATCTTGCTAGGTAGGTATATTATGAGTTAGAAAGAAATTTAAGATCCTTAAAGAGTCTTAGCATCTTCTTGAGGAAAAAACAAAAATTTCAAGGTAAATTAAAATAGAAAGTTTATATGGCAGTGTAAGGCACCAGATAAGATGCCACAAGGCTTTACATCATTAACTGTCAAATGACCATACAAGCTTAACTTTTATGTTGGTAACCTCCCCCACTCCCATTTTATTATGAAAGCTTTCAGGCATACATTTTCATAGAAGAAAATGGAGTCAGTCAGATTTAAATATTGATTTAGAAGTAAAAATGTATTTGCCATGCTTCATGAGGGAAGTACCTCACAAGAACTTTTATGAAAAATATGAGTTTTGTTTATAGCTACAAATGCATAAACACAAAAACCATTTTTAACCCATTTTATCCCATCATCCCAGATGCAGAATACCTATAAAAACTTGCATATATATTCTGTATTATGTGTAATATATAATAGAATTATATAATATATACCAGACTTAGGTAATTATAATAGAATTATAATTATATTAACTGATATTAGTTAACACATGTATAATTTCTAGATTGTGATTTCCAACTTATTTATTTATTTATTTTTGGGGCGGTGCTGGGGATTGAACCCAGGGCCTAGTGAGGCATGCACTCTACCAACTGAACTATATCCCCAGCCCCTGATTTCCAACTTATTTTAATATACCTGTATCGATGCAGAATTGAAAATTTGTGATTTAATGGGTTAAAGCTAGTATTGGACTAAAAAGGAATATTTTACTTATAATTTTAAGACAAAAGTAAGTTATCTCTGATCTTATGAGATTATATTTTTGAACTAAAAATTTGAAAGAAAAATTCTCATAAATGTAAATGCAGCAGATAACCCACAGATTGTATTTACCTTTATTTGAAATATCAAATGTATATAGTTTAATTTGTTGACTTCTTGGGGCAAGTATTTACAGGTGACATTTAAAAAAAATTAGTAATTTGTTTCTTTTATTTTCATAGGATAAAATGTTTCATTTTTGGGTAAATACGTTCTTCATACCAGGACCAGAGGAAACCTCAGAAAGAGTAGAAAATGGAAGTCTATGTGATCAAGAAATCGATAGTATTTGCAGTATAGAACGTGCAGATAATGACAAGGAATATCTAGTACTTACTTTAACAAAAAATGATCTTGACAAAGCAAATAAAGACAAGGCCAACCGATATTTTTCTCCAAATTTTAAGGTCAGTTAAAAGCATTGGGATGTATTGGTGAAGACATGCATGCATCCGTGTGTGTATGTGTGTGTGTGTGTGTTGTCCTCTAGGGTAAAGAACTGAAGAACTTATCTTGACTCATTTTTAAACTAAATTATTCATTACTTAGAAGTATATCCCATCTGATTCAAATGTATGATATGTCAAGGTCATTGTATTGTCATGTGTAACTAATTAAAACAAATAAAAAAAAAGTAGTGTTTATGTAGCAATAACCTACAAGTTTATAATGAAATACTATTATGCACACAGACTACAAAAAGCTGCATTTTTCCTTAGCATATTCTTTTTCATTGTTATTTGATGAAATCTGGGGTAGACGTGTGGAAGAAGAGTTAGGTGAGTGGGATATGAAGTAGGAATTGAGGAATAAAGAAATGAATAGAAGCTCAGGCATTTGGGAATGATTTTTAGATAATTTTTATTGGTGCATCGTAATTATATATAATAGTGTGGGATTCATTATGACATATTCATACATGCACATAATTTGGTCAATTTAGAAAATAAATTGTGTGGAATGTTTTCACCACTTCCACTCTCGTCTCCCCTTCAATTTATTTTCAAGTCTTCAGAGTATCATAAGAATAGATTTGATTGTTTCACTATTATTAACGTTTTTTAAAGACCTTGTAGGTACTATAAAGACCCATATGATTTAGCACAGACCTACCTCCCATCCCAGTTCTAGCTACGTTCTCTGTTTGTTCCCCAAAATTTAGCCACACTGGTCTTGCTTCAGTTCTGCAGAATGCAACACTTCTGCCTCTACTGTTTACAGTTTTATTCTTTATTCCTCTACCTCTCTTCCCTACCCTTTCCCCCGACCCTTATATGTCTCCTGACTTCTCATGTTTCCAGCTTTAATTTCAGTCTCATCTGCTCTGTAAAGCCCTTTCTGATTGTCCTCCCTTGTTATTCCCTTTAAAAAATTATTTCTATTTCCACATGTATGTCTTGCAATTATTTGGCTTCATTTTATTTTTTGTCTATATATGATAGGGGTGTATGTGGTTGGGTGTGCATGTATTTCTATTTATAGACAAGAATTCTTCAGATTAAGAAAATTGATTTGTGAACATTCTTGAATGGTTGTTTGCCATTTTCTTCCATTTCTTATTCTACTTTTTTTTTTATCTTTTAGCATATCTTGTTTTCTTTTATGTATTTGTCATTGTAACAAATCTAACAATAGCTTATAAACACATTACTAGTAATACTTAAAATGTAGAGGGAGATCTACATGTTCATAAGTGAAAAGAGATCTAACATTAAACACCTTTGGATCTTAAATTTGTGTTTAAAAGTTTCCTTTAGAATTCACAGGTTTCCATCTCCTTTCTTTTCTCTAAATCTGAATTTTCCTCAACAATTAGACTTTAAAATATCTTTCTACTTTTATTGTTTTCTCTTTTAACATTACCAAAAGTTTTATATTTGTGATTGCAAATAAAAACTATTTTAGTTGTCAGTGCATAGTTAACAATGTTATACATGGTAAGTGCTATGAAAAATAGAGATGGGAGTAATCTTGTCATTTTTTTTTAAACCTATGATAGCTAGAGAATGCCTGATCAAGTGAATGACATTTAAGTAGAGGCCTAAATGAGATGAGTGAGTTATACAAATATCTGGGAAAAAAGGGAAGTATAGATCAATGCAAAAGCCCTGAGATAGGAATAAGTTTAGTATATTTGAGTAACATTAGTCATTTTGACCAAAGGAAGTAGATGAGAAAACCCGTCCTAGGGTGGAAACATTATGTTTTCAGCATAAGAAAGATATAATCTGAATGTCTTTGAGTGGAAGCTAGGAAATCAGTTAAGAGTCTGTTAGCAGTGGTTTAAAACATTCAGGTGAGAGATGGTTGCTTGGATGAGAATAGTGGCAGGGAGGGGTAATGAAACTGTCAGATTGGGTATATGTGGTATTTTAAAGATAGAACTTAAAGGATTTACTGATGAAATGGATGTTGGTTATTAAAAAAAGAAGAATTGATAACGACTCTTGAATAATAGAGTAGAGGCTATAGATACCACAGAATAAGCAGGGGATTAAGATCCCACATCTATTGTCTACCAGATATGTTTCTCATTAAAATGAAAATACCTAATATATCAGCGATTTTTGAACGATTATTGTAACTACGCATATAAAGGCCATTGACCCACTGTTTAGGCCACTATATGGTCTATGTTAACTTCCTTCTCCTCAATTTAGGCAAAGTTTTTAGGGGTGTATGCATCATTGAATCACTATGTATGTTTGTATAGTATGGTTAGTATCAGAAAATATATTGAGTTTTAGACAGGTAATGAGAGAAACATTCTTTCAGAATTGAGCCATTTGTGAATTGAACTTTGTGACTGAAAAATTACATTATGTGAATACTGGATGATCTTCAATCTGCATTTCTTTGTAGGATTATTTAGTGCTTATAGCTTGTGTATCTTAAAAAATATTTTATTAACATCCCACTTTGTCTTTTCAGTATTTAGCAGGAAAGAATATATAGGAACTCTAAATAAGAAGAGGGTTATTCGAAAGGCAATTGCTCTTTAAAGATATGTTTGTTATAGTATTTTAAAATGAATCTATTAAAATATACGTCTTTATAAGTAACTTAAAATTAGTCATAATAATGGATTTTCATTTTTAATTTTCTTTTTCTAGGTGAAACTGTATTTTACAAAAACAGTAGAGGAGCCATCAAATCCAGAGGCTAGCAGTTCAACTTCTGTAACACCGGATGTTAGTGACAATGAACCTGATCATTATAGATATTCTGACACCACTGACTCTGATCCAGAGAATGAACCTTTTGATGAAGATCAGCATACACAAATTACAAAAGTCTGATTTTTTTTTATCAAGAGGGATAAAAATACCATGAAAACAAACTTGAATAAACTGAAAACGGACCTTTTTTTTTTTTTTTTTTTTTTTAATGGCAATAGGACATTGTGTCAGATTACCAGTTATAGGAACAATTCTCTTTTCCTGACCAATCTTGTTTTACCCTATACATCCACAGGGTTTTGACACTTGTTGTCCAGTTGAAAAAAAAGGTTGTGTAGCTGTGTCATGTATATACCTTTTTGTGTCAAAAGGACATTTAAAATTCAATTAGGATAAATAAAGATGGCACTTTCCCATTTTATTTCAGTTTTATAAAAAGTGGAGGCAGACTGATGTGTAAACGTAGGAATTTTTCCTTTTGTGTTCTGTCACCAACCTAAGTGGTCTAAAGAGCTTTGTGAATTACAGGTTCACATCCTACCCCTTTGCACTTGTGGCAACAGATAAGTTCACAGTTGGCTAAGAGAAGTTTCTAAAGGATTTTGCTACCTTCTAATGCATGTATTTGGGTTGGGGGAATGGAGGGAATGCTCAGAAAGGAATATATTTTATGCTGGACTCTGGACCATATACCATCTCCAGCTATTTACACGCACCTTTCTTTAGCATGCTATCATTATTAATCTGGACATTTGAGGAATTGGCCGCTGTCACTGCTTGTTGTTTGTGCATTTTTTTTTTTTAAAGCATATTGGTGCTAGAAAAGGCAGCTAGAAGGATGAATTTGTATTGGGGTACAGGAATGAACCTTTCGCAACATCTTAAGAATCCACAAATGAAGGGATATAAAAACAATGTGGGCATAGATAAGAAACACAGCAACAATGACTTAACCATATAAATGTGGAGGCTATCAACAAAGAATGGGCTTGAAACATTATAAAAATTGACAATGATTTATTAAATATGTTTTCTCAATTATAATGACTGCTCCATCTCCTGTGTAATCAAGGCCAGTGCTAAAAGTCAGAAGCTATTAGTACCTACATCAGTCAACAACTTACACTTACTTTATTAGTTTTCAATCATATACCTGCTGTGGATGCTTCTATGTGCTGCCTGCAAACTTCCTTTTTCTCATTAAATATAAAATATTTTGTAATGCTGCACAGGAAATTTCAATTTCAGATTCTACAGTAAGTGTTTTTTTTTTTCTTCAAAGATTTATGATGCACTTATTCAATCCAGTAGCTGTCAGCTGTTCCACCCTTTTGACCTTACACATTCTATTACAATGAGTTTTGCAGTTTTGCACATTTTTTAAATGTCATTAACTGTTAGGGAATTTTACTTGAATACTGAATACATATATGTGTATATTAAAATTGTGTTAAAAAGGAAATTAGAGTTGCAGTAAATTTTCAACACTGCACAAATAAGGCATTTAATTTTTCAGTAGAAATTGTTCTACATAGGCTTTATTGATTTGCTATTGAATAGTTTTTTTAATTTTTTTTTTTTAACGTGCAGTGTTAAGTCATTTCATAGTATTAGAATTGGGACTAGGGCTTCAATTTCACTTCTTAAACATCATATATTTGATATGCCCAGACTGCATATGATTTTTAGCAGAGTACAATGAGTATTGTAAAGCTAATGTGAAGATACTATTAAAAAGGATTTTCCCCCAGAAACTTGGTATCTTTCAAATTATACCTTGACCTTGACATTTGAATACCTAGCCATTATATTTCTTAATGGTGTAGAATCCCATTTTCAATAACTTATTGGTGCTGAAATTGTCCACTAGCTGTGGTCTGACTAGTTATAATTTACAAATACAGATTGCATAGGACCTACTACAACAGCATTTATAGACTTTAATGGTAAATAGATTAGGCAGAACTTCATCTAAAGTTTTCTTGGTAAATAATGATGTTTTCCATACCTCATCAATTTCACTCAACAAAGTTTTTAAATTTTTAACAAAGCTCCTAGGATTTACACATTTATAATTAAACATTGATATATAGAGTATTGATGGCTCATAAGTTAAATTGGTAAAGCCAGAGACATCTATTCCTAAAATCTCACCATTGAAATTTATGACACCTTATGTTTCATAAATGCTGAAAATAATTGACTAAAATGAGATATCTATTCCTGTTTTGAAATTAGTTATTAATATTGTTCTTTATTATAGTTTTGGGCACAGCATATTAAAACGTAACTTGTATTGTTCCAATATGTAACATGGAGGGCCAGGTCATAAAAAATGATATTATAATGGGCTTTTGCACTGTTATTATTTTTCCTTTGGAATGTGAAGGTCTGAATGAGGGTTTTGATTTTGAATGTTTCAGTGTTTTTGAGAAGCCTTGCTTACATTTTATGGTGTAGTCATTGGAAATGGAAAAATGGCATTATATATATATTATATATATATAAAAATATATATTATACATACTCTCCTTCCTTTATTTCAGTTACCATACCCCTAGAATTTGACAAGAATTGTTATGACTGAAAGGTTTTCAAGTCCTAAAATTTATTTTTGTCAGTATTCATAATTAGCCTGAAATACATTCTGTAGGTAATCTCTCCCAAGTTTCTGGAATGTTTTCTTAGACTTTTTGGATGTGCAGCAGCTTACATGTCTGAAGTTACTTGAAGACATCACTTAAGAAAGCTTACATTTGGGCCCTGTACCATACCAAGTCCTCTGTAACTCCTCTTGAACATTTTTGCCATAATTATGAAAGGGTAGTTGAATAAACAGCATCACCATTCTTTGCTGTGGCACAGGTTATAAACAAATAAGTGGAGTTTACCGGCAGCATCAAAAGTTTCAGCTTTAAAAATATGAGTAGGGTACAAGTTACATGTTTAGTTATAGAAAATTTGTGCAATATGTTCATAACGATGGCTGTGGTTGCCACAAAGTGCCTCGTTTACCTTTAAATACTGTTAATGTGTCATGCATGCAGATGGAAGGGGTGGAACTGTGCACTAAAGTGGGGGCTTTAACTGTAGTATTTGGCAGAGTTGCCTTCTACCTGCCAGTTCAAAAGTTCAATCTGTTTTCATATAGAATATATATACTAAAAAATTTCAGTCTGTTAAACAGCCTTACTCTGATTCAGCCTCTTCAGATACTCTTGTGCTGTGCAGCAGTGGCTCTGTGTGTAAATGCTATGCACTGAGGATACACAAAAAAAAAAAATGTGTACAGGATAATGCCTCATACCAATCAGATGTCCATTTGTTATTGTGTTTGTTAACAACCCTTTATCTCTTAGTGTTATAAACTCCACTTAAAACTGATTAAAGTCTCATTCTTGTCATTGTGTGGGTGTTTTATTAAATGAGAGTATTTATAATTTCAATTGCTTAAATCCATTGAAATTTTAAATAATGGGCAGCCAAATATGATTAAGAAGTTTTCTGTATCTTTTTTTTCCCCTCTGCTGTCCTTTAAAACCTACTATTTATTTTAAAAGAATAGCCTTTGTCAGTTTCGGAGTAGAGTATATGTCTACTCATGTGGCTTTTCTTTATAATTCTGTATTCTGCCATCAACATATGGGAAGCGTCATCTACTCAGTGTGACTTGTGCCATATAAAAATTGATATTCCAGAATAGTCTAAAGGACTTGTGTACTTGAATTTAATCTTGTTATTTGTTAATATTCTTGAAAGATTAAAGACTAAGGCATATCCTTTCAACAAAACATTATAAGGTAATAAGTAAAAGTATAGCTTGTATAAATGTTCTACAAAAGTAGACAGACCACTAATGTAACAGTGGAATTTAATGTTATTTCAAGTTTTACATGTTCTCTGTGTGACTTTTTAAAAGTAATGTGAATGATGTGTAATAATGTAAAGAAGTATGAAGGCATGTGTGTATTCACACACTTTTTTTTTATAGGAGTACTAATTACTATGGTTGGAGATAATACTGGAGTCAAAGTATTTTGATTTATAAGAAAATATTTTGGTGATGTTTGAAAAATAGGAGTTTACTGGCATTTTGTTTTATATCATGTCCTCAATATGCTGTAATCTGAGCTAGCTTGGTTCAAGTGAATGCCATCACCATTTCCATTGAGAACTTAAAAATCACCAGTGTTTAACATGCAGGCTTCCAAAAAATCAAGACCCTTAACGTTTAATTTGCTGTTAACATGAAACTCTCTTGGTTCTTATATTTTTGCCAGATAATTAGCAATACATCCAAAGTTTACTCTTAAAAATGGCTTAACATGTAATTTTTAATTAACAGTTGCTAGTGTAGAGAGAAATATTTTTGAAGAGAACAGTAATAGTCCAAACTGGTATAGGGACAGAACCTAAAAACTAATAAATAAAATAATGGAGAAAAAATTTTGAAGATGCGAAGTAGACACTGATTTTCCTCTAGAATTTTGTAACGATAGGTAGATTGGTGGTCAGGTAAAGTTACTTTAATCTAACTTTTTTTTTTTTCTTTCTTTCCAGTACTGGGGATTGATCCCAGAGGTACATTACCACTGAGCTACATTCCCAGCCCATTTTATTTATTATTTTTGAGACAGAGCCTCACCAATTTTCTGAGACTGGCCTCAAACTTGCAATCCTCTAGCTTCAGGTGATCCTCTAGCTTCAGTTACCTGAGTCACTGGGATTACAGGCATGTGCCACTGCACCCAGCCTGTTCTTCCATCTTTCAAGATCTGTTAAGTGTGTTAGAATGTAGGTAGCCACTGTGACAAATTTGATGTTGGTTGGTAGCTTTAAATGTTTGTAATGTGAAGAAAGGAAAGGACAAAATAGTTTTCACTGGTAGTACTCTGGTTCTTAAATTGTCTATTTTTAGAATACTTTCCCAGCATAACAACAAAATAATTATAATCCCACCACCTGGAGACATAGCCATTATTAATATTTTAGTGACTATACAATCGTTTTTTCTGTATATTCATGTATATATTTTCTTTAAAAATGGAATTTATACTGTGCATATTCTCAAAGCCTTTTAACTTGGTGTTTCCATCATGAATTTGTAGAATGTTCCATTGCCTCAGAAAGTGAGCAGTAAGTTGATCACTTTCTAATGCTACAGAAGCAGATTTTGTGTGGTCACTGAGAGTCCTTTCCAATTCAGTCGGTTAATCATGAATGTTTAAATATTGTTGGCATTAAATACATGTCTAAGTAAAAGTTACATTTATTTAGCATAGTCAAGCTTAACTTCAAGAGCCATTTTAAACAAAGCAGAATGCGTGAAACACTGTTAATTTCATCACCTTTCTATTCCTCTTTTTAATTTTTTAAATTCTAATTTGTTATATATATATGACAGCAGAATGCATTATAATTCATATTATACTTATAGAGTATTCCTCTTTTAGATTGGAAAAAAATAACTTTGGTTTTTATAGTTCCCAAATAGTTGCTCAGTTTGGAGCAAATTAGTTTAATCACACACACACTCCCCCCCCACACACACACACAGAAGTAAAACTGCTTTTATCACTGGTTTATCACTCAGTTGTCTTCAAATCTGTGCTCATGTGACTTATATCAAAAACTTGAAGTTTCATGAATACTTACCCCTCTTTGCTCTGAAACCATGTTTAGTACTAAGGTGGGTTTAGAACATACAATTCTTTTTGACAATTATTTGAGAATTTTGGTGGAAAAAAACATTTTAGCTGAGGGCAGTATATAACTTATAAACCAATGTATTGATACTTTAAAAAACTTTTTACATATATGAGTGAAGTTAACTGCCATCTTTGAGCATTACCACATTTTAAAATAAAGCTGCCTATTTTTAAATGAAGTGTTTAACAAGGATTTATATTTCTCATTTTTTAAGATTAAAAATAATTTATATTTTCTCTGTTGCATGTGGATTCTTATAATGTAGAGATTTGTTTGTGTGGAATGGAGCAAGGCTTGTAGTCATGGCTCTAGTGATTCAGTTTGCCAAATTTGTTTAGTGAAATTCTTAATGTTTAGGTGTGGTTTTCTGTAGCTATCACTGGCTATTATTTATATGCGCCTTTAGGATTTTCTGCGTATTCTATAGAGTTGTCCAAACAGTATCCCACATTTACAAATGTCCTTTCAACATCTAATTTCTGTGTCCATTAAATTGCCCTCATGCCCTAATGAGCAGTTTGTAAGTGTGTGCATGTGTATGTTTGTGGGTTTGTGTATGAGTGAATTAGATTTTCAAGAATGCTAAACTCCAACTTAAATAGTTTGGTTCAGGCGAACATTTCTCACTGGAATTTCACAGTTCATTGTAATGAAAATGTTAACCATAGATGACCTTTGACATACGGTAATGAATCTTGAATATAAATGAATTGTTAGTAGCATCTTGATATATGCATTAATGAGTTATTTTAAAAGTTGTGCATTAAACCAAAGTTGGTGTTTTGAAAATGTTTATATTGAGTTCCATTTGGCTACTGATGGACATAAGAATAGAAATGCCTTCCTATGGAGAGTATTTTTCCTTTAAAAATTAAAAAGGTTAATTATTTTGACTATTTGTTTTTTAGCTTTTTATTCTTTCAACAAATATTTATCAAGTGCCTGCTATATATAACAGGTATTTGGAACACATTAGTAAGCAAAAGAAACATACCCTGTCCTTGCCCTGGAAGAGTTTATACTCCAGTAGAGGAATCAGACTTTTCTGAAATAATGATATGCTGTGATACATGCTGTGAGATACGAGATGCATATGATACGGTGATGATCGCCAAACATTCCACACATCCCTAAATTTCCACCCCACTTGGAGTTAAATGGGGTACATGAAACTAGTTCATTCCAATGAAATACAAGTTAAATAAAGGCATGAAAAAAATCCCCTGTACCATCCAGTTTTTCTCTTTGCCTACTGCGTGACCAAGGGTTTGACATGTTCAAGGTGGTACAGCTATCAGCCGGAGTCTTGAGTCAATATATGGAGCAGGATTCCTTCAAATTCTCCCCACCCACACTAAACTTGTATGACATTAGCACAAGCCAGAAACAATTAGTTTATACATACTTTGGGACAACTTGTTACTACAGCATATATAGCATTCTGGCTAAAGTAGTGTTTTGAGAAAATCAGGGACGGTTTTCTTCAACAACAAAGAGGGAGTTAAGAATGAAGCAAAATGAAATATTTTTTAAACAACTTGATGCTATAAACTAAATTGCAAGACTGCCAGAAGTTATGGAATGATAGTTCTTGAAATAGGTTACTGAAGCATTGTTCTACACAACTTTGGTGTACAATTGCATGAACAGAAGATCCTTTCCCTTGTGGAGCTTCCATTCTAGCAAGAGAAAATAGATAAGAGGAAGCATGCCATATGTCAGGTAATAAGTGCAATTGGGGAAATGTGATCAGTTAAAGGAGATCAGGATTGCAGAGTAGAGAGATTGCATTATTGAATAGGGCAATCCAGGATAGGCCTCACTGGGAGAGTGAGATTTGGATAGACTACTGAAACAGTGACAGAATTTTCTTTCACCCTTTCAATCAACAAGATGCACCCAGAATCTTCTATAAAATTTTATTCTAATCTTGTACATCTCATCCAGAATCCTCTATAAAATTTTATTCTAATCTTGTACAACTGTCCATTAACTTCTGGGTTTCAAAATTATTAATGGTATGCCAAGGGAGAATTTTTAAGAATACACCCAAATAGCCACAATGTTCTAAACCATTTTGTTTTCTAAATTGGTTTGCTAAAACCTGTGCAAACACTCTTCCTCTTGATTCTCAGAATTTAGCTTTTTAGTTTTGTGTGTGTATGTGTGTGCATTTTGAAAACACTAAGAAGTTTAAGTTCTGTTATGTCTTAAATATTTCTGTAAGGCTGAAAGGAAATGTCATTTATGATTTACTTATAGGAAATGTTATAAATTTTGAGTTAAGAAAACAGATGAGATTTATAGCCCAATGTTATATGTTTTAATTCTTAACCCATAACCAAAAATCTGGAAAAATAACCAATTTGCAAAAGAGTGTTTTTGTTTGTTTGTTTCACAAAAAGGGTTCACCCAACCTCAAGGATCCAAGAACTTTAACTTTATGGAAATTTGCAACTATTTATTCATCAGAACATAATTTACTTTTTGCTAGTCATCAGTTTCTAATGAAGTCAGATATATACAATCGGGCATGAACCCTCGAAAGAAAATTGTTGACTATTAGCTTTTCCTCTTTCAATTCTAATTTAAAAATAGATTTTAAGCAATTTAGAAGACATGATCTTGGACAATTTTTTTTTGACATTTCATTTTTTTTTTAAAAAATTAAGGTAGCTGAATGGATTTCCCTAGTGTGAGAAATGGATTTAACCTTGTGTGAGAAAAATCATCATATAAATTTAGGGAAAAAAATTGTGTATATCCTTTGGTTTTGGCTGGAGGGTTAAAATTTACTTAGAATGTCTCCTGAACTCATATCCTTGGTAATTTCAGTTGCTCTTTTAAATATCCATAAATAGGCCCAACACCTAATTTTCAAGGAAGAATACTGTAGTATTCATTTTGAAAAACCTGAAGGTGGAACAAATTTAGTAATCTATTAAGTAATATACACAGTTCAGCTGGGCACAGTGGCACACATCTGTAATCCCAATGACTGGAGGCTGAGGCAAGAGGATTCCAAATTCAAGGTCAGACTCAGCAATTTAGTGAGACGCTGTCTCAGAAAAGGACTGGGGATGTAGCCCAATGGTAGAACATCCTTCAGTTCAATCCCTAGTGCCAAAATAATAACAATAAAAACAATGACAATAACTTCAACGTGATTCATAGATAGCATGAAATTTAGCAAAATTATAATCTGTAAAAAGTACTAAGTGTGCCAATACTCTTTAAGTAATAAAACTTAGAAAGCTAAAGTAAGATGAGGTTAAATTATCAGCAAATTAGAGTCATATTAACACTTTTTTCAATTATGATCAAGTTTTTGAAATGAGATCTCCCCATTTATAAATCCCTATTATCTTTAAGGAAGACAAGTATATTTAAGTTTCCCAAATGGCATATGAAAATCACTTAAATTTTTAGTTTAATATTTCCACAAACGCGTTATTGGCAGGAAAGGCCAAAATTTTTATTTGGTTATCTTTAACAAGGGAACCACGAGTGGCTCTTTACGTAATTATCTAATAGCTTGTTTACTGTGTGTAGTCATCATTAATAATGAATAATGCATAGGCTTCTTATGATTAGTAGTATTGTATTTTAAATGAACTTTCAAACAGGAAAATAACGTTTCTATAGGAATCCAATAAAGATAAAACAAAAATATCACTATGAACATTAATTAGGCAAACTCTTGGCTAGGAGGTATGTTAAAGTGACAAGCAATCGAATCTTTCTCCAGAAAGTTAAACACAGTTCTACATCAGAAAACCTGAAGACTCCTATTTAAAATTCATAGAAATTCTGTGAGTTCAGCTCAGTATGTATCAGCTAAAATAAAGGGGCAGAGAGAGCAAAAAAGCAGAAGCAGGAGGAAAAGAAGCTTCTGCAGAGCTCAAACTACCTTTTTATCCATGGAAGGCTGCTAGAGTATTAGGAAAATAATAAATAACTGTTTCATGATTTTGAACCTGCAGTACATACACAGCTTCACCCTTTATGATTTTATCTCATAAAGAAAAACTTGAAGTCAAGGTGCTTAAGTTACTCAGGTTTTACAACCAGGAAGTTGGGAAGTAGAAGTGAACCCAGGACAGTGTATTATTCCAACAATACTATGCATGCTATTTCTTAAGCAGAATCAAATTTACAAAGCACACAGAAAAGAGAAACCTGGAACTTACAGGCTGCGGAGTCATGCCAATACTCTATTACTGACAGAAAAAAAGCAAACTTCAATGAAAGGTACAAATTTTGCAAAATGAACATCAAAGATAACAATCATTTTAAAATTGTTCAAGCTATAAAAAAGAAAGTATCCAACTTGTGAAGTTCTTGAAAGGTAAGATGGGAAGATATTGACACACATTTTGCTCTCAAGACTCTGAATGAGAACTTCTTGATTTGCCAGTTTGGTGTTGAGTCCACCTAAGAAGCTTATTTTTGCTTGAATTGGAATACCCAGACTGTTTAAAAAAGTGATCAATTCTCAGTTTAGCAGGCTTACCAGCCAAACAACAAGTCCATTGGGATTATAATAGTGCAGAAGTCAGAAAAGGTCATACATTTTAAACAGGGAGAGGAGCAGATACAATGGCTTGATGTAAAAACCAACTTGGCCATTTAGGAAACTGGGAAGAGAAAGGCTAGAGCAGAGTACTGAGAAAGATAAATTTTGGGGAAGTAGGAAGAGGAACTAGTGGTTTCCCCTAAGGCAGAATAAAACAACTAAAATTTATCTCTCCTGCTAATGACAGCTAAAGACAAAAATGTACCAAAGACAAAAAGTAACTATCTGAGAATTTGAAAATAAACAAAAATAGGTAAACTGAAGGATCAAAACAGAAAAGCAATCTATATAGGGATATTTGCTGGGGTTTTGTCGTTTGCTTACTTTTGTTGTTGTTTTTTGTTTGTTTGTTTGTTTTGTTTTGTTTTTTACTTTTTTCTCTTTTAAGATGAGCCCCACTTGGGGAGCTACACAGTGCCATGAGTAGCTAAAACAGAGAAATACAGTTTTCTGGCCCAAAGAGTCAGGGTCCAGAGGGCATAGGAGATATAGGTGAGGGATTGGGAAAATCCTGGTGAGAAGTGAGTTTGGAAAAAGGGATCCTCTAATTCTTTGTTCCACAAGTTCTAGGTTCACCCCTGAGCTGGCATGTACAGAACAGACCCAAAGGAGCATAGCAAAGCCTTCAGAGATGAAACAGATTGGAATTTCTACTCACCCCTGTGAGTAGAAATTACAATCTTGAGCCTAATGGTTGATTGCCTGTATCAGTCAATCAACCTTTTCCAGAAAATTCTAACAGAACCCAGAGTCTATATGACTCAGTATCCAATATTACTTAAATAGGAAGAACCAGGAAAATGTGACAAATTCCCAAGGAAAAAGATACTCAAGAAGATGCCAACTGCAGGATAACCCAGATGTTGGAATTATCAGATGTAAAAACAACTATTATAATTATACACTGAGATAAAAATAAACACTTGAATGGAAAGATAGATGGTCTCAGCAGAGAAATAAACTTACGAAAAGAATCACAAGGAAATTTTACGACTAAAATTTTCATTATCTAAAATAAAAAGAACACATGTAATGGGCACTTGAAGAATGGAAATGAAAAAAGAAGGGACAGTACATTTGAAGATAACTGGATAAATATTCAATTTTAATTATGGCTTTAGAGTCTTAAAGGTGGATGAAGCTTTGAAAAGAAAATGTATTTGACTGTAATTAGCTACAGGAAGCCTTACTAAGATACTAATTCAAGTGCTTTTATAAGGCTTTCACAGATAAATATGAAGTTCCTGCTGTTTGTCAATTATATTAAGGAATCACCATTATTGCAGGTCCAACTGTAATAATTATGAGAATTTTCTG